GGGTAATTTGTCTGTTACTCCATAGTGTTTGTAGGACTAAAAAGTTCTTGTATACTCCATGTTAGTGTTTTTGACTATTAAAGGAAAAACTAGTTTTGAGAAATTCCAGAAAGTGTCAATCACTTAAAATTGTCAGATTAACTAAATTATCAACGTGATGAATCATTCCTTGTTTTCATCTGTATACTCAAGGAAATTGCAAACATACTGGGATGGCAGATATCCAGAAAATATCTTGGTGCTGAAGGAGTTTATTGTGGTTCAGGACTGACTCACAGAATGGTGATTCAATAGCTATCACTTTTAACTATCTTGTTTTAATGAGTGCTGTATTACTGGCAAGGGCCACTTGTATTCTGAGATATAAAACCATGGCTGTGATTGATTGAAATCATTGAAAATTATGAAAATGTGTAGTTCCAGGCTGTAATTCCTTAAAGCACTTTATTAATTAGTGTCACAGTGCAGTGTCTCCTGTAATTCTTGTACTATCTTTTTATCCTGATGTTCCATGAAATTTCATTGTGAACCGTACGATTTTGTCTAAGTCCCGCTGAAGACTGTGGTTATTCTCTACTTCTCACAATGCTCTGTGTTCTTGAACATCAGAGCATTGGTCTCAATTTCTGAGGCAAACCTATTTTTATGGTATGTTATGCATTGGATGCATCTAATGTCTGGCCCTAGCTTCATGATTTTTTTCAGCTGAAATGTTCTGTTAAGGGGAGTATAATTATCCCATATTGTTATATTGACTTAAGGATTCTTTAAGAATAAAGCTTAAGTTTTGTGGGAGTACTGATTTAGTCCTGCAGAGTTGGAGTTCCAGTGCTGCTGATTATCGGTCCCATAGCATTTAATAGTTTTTGGGGCAGAAGCTCTCTGGAAGACTTCTGTTCTTTTTCTCCTCGGTCGGATAGTTCTGTGTATTTATAATCTGGATCCCCTCTGCAACAAAAGCCTTTTCCTGCTTTTCTTTCTGTTGCCCAGCATTTTTGGTCTCTCTCTCTTTTCCCATGAGTCCTTTTAAAAACCATCCTTTGACATGTCTGTTCCATCTGCCCTGTCCACTTATCCCTTGCTTTAGAGGATGGAAAAACTTAGATCTTCCAAGCCAAGCCACCTCCTTAGTATATCTATTCTTAGGCAAACCACAACTGTCAGTCAAGTGCTTTCCTCGACTTTCCTCATCTTGTGAGTACGTATTGGCGGCCATGTCATTAAGATGAACATACAGTGACAGAGGCATTCATGATACAGCACATTTCCTAGTAACAACTATATAACAACTCTATAATATTAACCAAAATTCCCAAGTATTAGAGTTGTTTTTCTCTCTCCTTTCCAAATTAGTAGTTATTTGAAAAGTGCTTTGGGGACCTCTCCTTTAGAAAAGGGCTATTATGATTAATGTATCCTCCTCAATGCTTGTTGTTTAAACACAAGATACAGGTCCTATATAAAAATTCCTTAGCTCTGCCTAAGTAATCCCAAACCAGTGAAGTTGTATAAACTAGGTCACAAAATGAAACTAATTTCCAGAGCCTACATTCTCCTTTTCATTTGCTCTCTGGTTATCGTTGCATTTGCCAGACCTTCAATGATGTGGCATTTTGAAGTTCCAAGTTCCCTGATACCAGCAAGTTCTGACCCTTGAGATTGGACAGATGTCTGTCAATTATATTTCCAAGGCTACTCTGATGTGGCCAGGTGTGACCTTGTTCATTACTATGCCAAACATGAAGAAAAATCCTTTTTCTATTGTTAAGAGAATAGACTCTATTCTTATGCAGGCAACGTTGCTTTTGTGACTTAGCATATATTATATTTTCCAGGCTGAGTCATTATTTTATTTGCTATCATTATCAAACTGTTTTAATAGATTGGTAGAATTTGAAACTAGAATGGATGATTAAATCATCCTGTCTGACCTCTTGTATAGCACAGACCATTAAATTTTACCTAGTTAGGCCTGTATTGAGCCCGCTAACTTGTTTTGATGTTTGATTAACATACCTTTCAGAAAAACATCCAGTCTTTATTTGAAGACAGTAAGAGATTGACAATCTACCACTAACCTTAATAGTTTCTTTCAATGGTTAGTCATCTTCCCCTTTAACTCAGATTTTAAAAATTGTGCCTTATTTCAAATTTGAAATTGTCTTGCATTAGTTTCTATCCGTTAGTTCTTTTTATGTGTTTTCCCCCTAGATTAAAGAGCCCATTAGTACCTAATAAATCAGAAAAATCAAGTCACTTCTCAGTTGCCTTGTTCACAAGCTAAACATATTAGCCCTGTAAATTGAAGTAAGACATTCTCTTCTTTGTAATTCTTCTCTGTTCAGTTTTAATACTTCCTAGTTTATATATCCCATTATCTCAAGATACAAGAATTACACTGGAGTTACAGAATTACACTGGAGGTTAATTTTTAATTGTTTGTCCACTGTGACCACATTTCCTTTACAGTCACTAGGTTTCAGGTTACAGTTCTCCATTCTCTAGACATACAGCATTTCTTTACTCACTTGTATAACTTTCTATGTGACTGTATTAAAATACATTTTGTTGGACTAGGTTTGGTTTACCAAGCAATCCGTATTATTGCCCTGTCCTTGTGTTTGTTTCCTGTAATATGGGATCTGAAAAGATTGATTTATCCTTTGTAGTTCCCTATCCGTATTATATACCTTAGCCAAAATTAAGTTCATTTGTATATACGTGTTTGGATGTCATAGCTTATATTCATTTCCTCACTTCCACACAGGACCTTTCTGTCTTCCCTGCCAAAAGATTTTTTCTGCGTTTAAAGTTGGCCTTTCCCTGATCTGGCTTGGCATATTACCTAAAACAATTTGTCATTACCTGTCACTTAATTATGAATTTAAATGGAATATATGTTCAGATAAATTGGTCATCCTTAATTACATTCATTTATAGCTAATCTGATTTCTTGATGGACAGGATTTAGTTGGTCATATACCATATACTTACTTGTAGTGTTTTCTGGATCTTTTGATTGCCATATACATCTTAAAATGATATGATTAAAAACTGCATATCTATTCCAGATCAGTGTGAACTTTGGTTTGATAAAATTAGGGATAGGCAGATAATGGGTGGTTAAGACATAGGCCTTACTTTATTAAAACCTACAAAACCTGAGATGTGGTAGGACCAGTTGGGATAAATGATTCAATTTTTGTATATAGTTATTCTTTTTTGAAACACTCAAGCATTCCATTTTTTAAGGATTTAGGAATTCTGTTTTTCTAATATTATCCTTCCTATATACAGCAAGGCCTATTTCAAAATACGGTGACACATATTCATTTTCATTACCTTTGTCTAACCTTCAAAGAATTCCAAAAATATTTATTATTTTCCATCATTAAATACCCAAAAGAAAAATACATATGCAGTTAAAAAAAAGGAAAAGAAGAATGACTTGGAGGTTAGTGCTTTTCTAGGCTATAAATTAAACTATTACTCTACCATGCTGGTATCATTTTTGTATTGCCTCCTTCATGATTCTTTTCTCAGCTCTGAGCTGTTCTGCCTTTCATGACTAAACAGTAGTTATTTGAATTTGCAGACATTCAAAAAGCCCCTGGTGGAAGCGCTCTATCTTGCTTTACTTAAAGTACTATAAGTTAGAGCATGAGCAAACCAAAAAGACATTTGCTGTTCAGTGGGGGGGCTTCAAACCTGTCTTCACTGGCCACTGAGCGTGCTCCCGCACACCTCCCAGGAGCCCTCTTCCCAGCTCTATCCCCCCACTCACCAGCTCTCAACTGTCACTAGAGGTTGGGGGAGGGGAAGGGGAGACCCTGGACCCCTTTCCCTGCAGCCCCCTGGCCAAGCACATCACGAGGCTGAAGTTGCAGCAGGGAGAGAGACCCCCACATCCCTTCCCCCAAAGCCCCCTAAGGTGGGCAGCCCTCCCAGCCAGCCCTGTGGGGTTGCAGGGGAAAGGGTTCTGGGATCTGTGTCCCTGCAGCACCCCAAGCCAGGCAGCGGCCTACTGTGGGGCCAGGACTGCTGTGGGGAGAGAGACCCTGAACCTCTTCCTCTGTGACCCCCCTTCCCCCCTCCCCCGGACAAGCTGCAGACCACTGTGGGGCCAGGACTGTTTCAGGGAGAGAGACACCCCTTCCTCCCACCCCCGCTGCTATGGTTCTCAGCTGCCAGAGGGAAGAGGTGGGGCTGGGATCAGAGGATGTCACTGACGTGGGTCAGTGATAACTGAGGGGACAGGGCTAGCCCCGCACTGGGGCAGAGCAGACAAGATCTGCCTGAAACTTGAGTGCAGCCTGTGCAATGGGATGGCAACAGTTACACTCTAAATTAACCCTTGATGGGATCTGGCACAGATGCTCGATAAAGCGCTCTAACAGAAAGTGCTTTAATCTAAAACCTTGTCCATCAAGGGGTAACTTAGCATGTGACATGACATTTTTAAAGTACTCTAAGATCCATGAATGTCTTCTGTTCTGGCTTTAGTGTGCTTTCTGTGCTTAAAGCATAACAGATGTAGCATCTATACCTAGCCTTAGATTTTAAACTTTATCAGTGTAGGTGATATAGCTTATTTTAAATTGTCATAGTTCCACTGGCTTCAACTAAGCTATGTCACTGTAAATATTTGGTCCTCTGTCTTCCTCTGCATTTTGTATGGAGCTTCAGCAATTGTGCTATGATACATAACATCATAAATAAATTTAGCAGCTTGGTATACACAAAAGTCTGTGTTTTGGGACGAATTTTTTCCAGCTCCCAGCCTGAGTATCTAGATTAGGAACTAGGGAGTTCTTCAAGAAAAAGAAAGAGAAATATTTCCCCATTTGATCCATCCTGACCATCCTGTGGATGTTATTGTAGTGAAATTATTTGCAATTGTAGGTCCACCCAGTCACTACCAAGCATCCCTGAGAAGAAGCTCTTGACTGCATTTCTTGTTTTAATGATCTAACCACTCTTGGTGTTCTGTGTTGTTCCAGGTGACTGGTATGAGCAGCTTTATCCTCTTGTGATTACTCTGAAGGACTGCATGGGAGAGGTGGTAACAAGGGCAAAGCAATCAATGACTTTTGTTCTGCTTCAGGAACTTGCATGTGGTTTGCCACAGTGTTTAATGCTGACCCTAAGAAGAGATATCGTCTTTAGTCAAGCAGTAGGTGCTTCTTGCATCATTTGTTTCCTATTTCAGTGACTGTTTTTGTTGCTCTTGGCATTACTGTAACTAGTTATGGTGTACAGACAGGTGTTCAGCTTTTTAGTGCGTTTTTTTTCTGTTCATTCACTTTAACTTTCTGTACTATGATGAGGGAAGAAAATAAAATACTGTCATAGTAATTCTCAGGCTGGGTTTTTGAAAGAGCCAAGGGATTTCAGTGCATAGCTGCTATTGAATTTCAGAGGGAGTTGAAAGTCAAATGCCTTTAGGCTCCTTTGAATACCCCAGTTTTAAACTATTAATAACCTTAAAAACTGGATTCTGATCTCTGCATATCTGCATAAATTAGATGCAAGACTTATGGCGTAAGTAGTTTGCTTAATGTAAGGAAACATCTAAATAAGGTCAAACTGAGATCAAAATGTTTTATTTGTATATTACCATTATTGTATATAAATTGAGGTTTGAATGTGCATGTATGTGTTTCTCAAATGCCAAATATAACTCAGTTCATGTACAAAAAGAGCAAATGTTAGAATTGCTGTTAGAATATATTAAGGCAGAGGTGGTCTACTTCCTGCATGCATGCCACAAGTGGCACAGGCAGTCTCTGTGGGACATGTAGCAGACTGGGGACAGCCAGCACAGCAGCAGATTAGATAGAAGAAGGGAATTGGAGTGGGCAGTTGGGGAGGGCATGGGGCACAAAAGTGTTTGGTTTGGTTTTTTTCCCTTAAATTTCTCTGTCTCTTTTTTTTTTTCAGCTTGCAGGATTGGTCTGTGGGTTTATAATCAAATTGCACACAAGCTTACATGACCAAGGCTTCCTACAACAGCTTCATACTGTTGGTTTGCTTGTGCAATATGAAGGACTTCTCAGTACATACAGTAAGTATTACTATTGAATTACACTGCTTACACATCCTTGCAAACCAAGAAATTCACCCAGTAAGCTATTATTTTAACTTTCATTCAGGAATTTGGCTTATTGAATCAACAAATATTATCCCATTAGGAGTCAGCAGGCTTCCACATAATAGTGCATTTGAAGTCACTGATATAGTGCTATATATCAATTCAGCATCACAAATTACAGTAATTTTTTTTTCCAATTTCTTTTGGAACCTTAACTGCTAATTATTCAATGCAGAGTACTAAACTATATTGTCTTAAATACAAGAGACTCATTTTCACAATGCAGCTAGTGGGACTTTTTCCTATTTGAAAAATACTGGGCACATCTACATGTACAATTAATGCGAAGCAATAAACTCCAGTGCTTATTGCATCACAGTTTATTGCTTCCCAGGTGCCACATTTACACATGCGCCCAGAACTGCAGCAATTTGAGCTGGGTTGGAGCAGTACTCTCTGGCAAAAGGCCTGGGGAACTGACCTGCCAGCTTGGGGCTGCTCCAGCCTGGCTCTGTGCTGCGGAGGGGCTGGCTTGGGCACGAGGGTGCTCCAGTGCGGGGCTAGCTGGGAGGCAGCCCCCACATTGAAGTACCCTCATGCCCCAGCCAGCTGAGTCAGTGTCTACACATGCACTGCTGCAGAAACTCCACATCAGGATAGTACTTGCATTTACTAGTATCCTGCTGCAGAATTAATTAATTAACTTCTGCCAAATAACACTCCTTGTGTAGACATGAGACATTTCCTATGCAGCTAATCAGTCAACTTCAGTAGAAGTCTCATGTAGCTGTGCCCACTGTGAACTACACTCATACGAGCATTAAGCATGGCCCAGCTAGACTTTTTTACAGCTAACTGAGACTCCAAGCTAAACTGCTGCCAACTCTGGGTGATTTCAACCCAGACAGCATTTTTGCAACTTGCAGGTCAGACTTTGTGATATGAAGATAACTCTAAACTATTCATTCCCAACTTATTCATAGATGCCAACATTTGTTAGCTATTAAGATGGATGTTTGGAAAGAGAAATTGTGACATACTTTACGCACATTAAAGAAGTTGGATTTTTTTTCCAAAACACAGACTGACCTGTGTAAGCAGGAAAAATGTCACCACTGGAGCTGTTTACCAGTTCCAAAATATGCTGTAGAGCCCCACTTCTAAAGTTACTGCAGTATAAGGGGCTATCTGCCTCATAGCTACCCTGAGGATTCAGACAAGCAGTCATTATATCAGAACAATCTATAAAAAAGGGCTTTCACAATAGACAAAATTAAAAAAAACCCACCTGCCTGCTCTAAAGTTGTTTGTCCCTCTAGTCCAATACACTGATTTTTTTCAGAAATGTTCAACATTAAGATACTATTAAGACCATTGGGAAGAGTGGAGCCAGATGCTATTCCACCTATTGGGCAGCTAAGTGCACATAAGCACCTAAATATGACTCTTTCATCCTGCTCAAATCCATGAAAATACACAAACACATCTAATTTGTAACACACCATCGCCCTTACCTTTAAGATTAAGTCACAAAAGAGCAGCAAAGAGAAGGACCCGCCTTTTATATTTCAGGGACTTGAGCAGAGTGGAATAGGCTCAAGGTTGGTACCTAAGTCCACCTATGCAGCTAATTGCTGAAATAAAATCTAGCCCTTAAAGTTCTCGGCTTCTTTGAAAATAGAGTTTCTTTATTTAGGGGCCCTAAATGTAACATTAGGAGCATAATTTAAGTACTCAGGTTTCAAAATGCATGTATGGCACTTAATTCCCTTTATTACCTTATAAGTATCAGTTCTGTAGCTAGTCAGACACATCAGCATCTGTTAACATTTCAAATTTTTCTACATAGGTGAAGAAATTGGAATGCTGGAAGACATGGTTGTGGGCATTTCAGATTTACAAAATGTAATGTTTAAAATCATAGAAGCCAAATCAGATGATTTCTTGCCTATTATAACTGGAAGGCGGTAAGTAGGCGCTGTTTTCTGAAGCCAGAGCCTTAGAGCTGTGTAGCTTTACATGCTGGTGGTAAAATCAAGTGGGAATTCAGTTAATGCTTCTCTTCTTTCTGTGTTTCCTTATGTTGGAAATCTGCAAGTGTGATTTTCCTGAAGTAAATGGAATTATGAATAATTTTCTGGAGGACCTGTAAAGATGAACATGAGCCGCCAATGCCAGACCGCAGCCACCAAGGCCAGCCATACCTTATCATGCATCCAAAGGTGCATCTCAAGCCGGTCCAAAGAGGTGATACTCCCCCTCTTTGCGACTTTGGTCAGGCCACAATGTTGGAGTACTGCGTCCAGTACTGGGCGCCGCACTTCAAAAGGGATGTGGCCAGCCTGGAAAGGGTTCAGAGGAGAGCCACCCGCTTGCTGAGAGGGCAGCAGGACAGGCCCTACGAGGAGAGACTGAGGGACCTGAACCTGTTCAGCCTCAGCAAGAGGAGGCTGAGGGGGGACCTGGTGGCTGCCTACAAGCTCATCAGGGGGGATCAACAGCAAATAGGCAGAGCCCTTTTCTCCCCAGCACCACCTGGGATGACAAGGAACAATGGTAATAAGCTGATGGAGAACAGGTTTAGGTTGGAGATCAGAAGGCAATATTTTACAGTTAGGGTGGCCAAAATCTGGAACCAACTTCCCAGGGAAGTGGTCCTTGCCCCTACCTTGGGCAAATTCAAGAGGAGGTTGGATGATTACCCGTCTGGGGTCTTGTGAACCCAGCATTCATTCTTGCCTGTGGCGGGGGTCAGGTTAGATGATCTGTTCAGGTCCCTCCTGACCCTAGCTACTATGAAACTATAAAGGTAATAAGTAGGGCTTCATAGTGCCTTCCTGCTAAGGATCTCAGCGTTCAAATGTTAATACATAGTAATCCTAATGTTATCTCTGTGAGTTATGAGCTGTATTCCTGTCCCCAACACATTGGGAAACTGAGGTGCAGAGAGCTGTGGAGATCAACATTTTCAAAAGTGGCTTCTAATTATGGGTATTTCAAAGGTGAGGTCTCAGAGTGAGACACTCTTGAGTTCTCTTACCATTCAGTTCACTTGGACCCATGGCACTGCATCTCTGAAAATCAGGCCTGAGGTATCTTGAGTTGTGAACTCAGAATGAGATGTCCCAAATTAATGGATGCTTTTTAAAAATAAAGCCTAAGATCATACAGGCAGAGTCGAGGACACCTGTACTTTACCCACTAATACATTATGCTTCTCGAATTACTTGCCCTGGAGTACTGTACATAAATTGAATGCTGTAATAATGCCCGTGACATAAAGGAATTAAAAAGGATATGTTGCCTGCGATGAACATTTTTCTCTCTCTTCATTATTATCACAGTCTGAAGCTCCAAATGTTTTTACTTTTGCAGAAATCATTTCCTTAATAGTACCATAATTCTTAAGATGACTGTAAATTAAATTCAGCTAAAAGCAGCAACTTTTTAGAAAAGATGTATTTCCTCTGTCATGGGGGCATACACCACTGTTTTTCTTAATTATTTCTGACAATTCACTCTCATAGCCTGAGCTTTCCGAGAAGGGATTGAAATAAATAGCTAGGAAGATCAGCGCACGATGGGCAAGACATCAGGAATAATTAAGAAAAATTATGGTATGTTGAGTTAAGTCCTAATCAGAAGAAATTCACCCTTTGTAAATCATTCACATCAAGTCTTGAAAAAATCAACAGCCACTACTATTGGCCTGGTGCCATTACTGGAGTACATTGAACTGTCACACTTGGAGGTCCAGGTTTTGAAACAGACATAAGCTTCAAGCTGCCCAAGACATTATGGACTGAGGGAGCAGTCAGTCTTTAGGAAGAAGAGTTATGGTCTGTGATTACTATACTGTACTTACTGGAAGGTGATTCAGAGAAAGGAATTGGTGATTTCAGTTCAGAAGGAAAGAAGGTTTAATTTTCCTAAGGCTCAATCCAGTTAGATATGATGACATAATATCTATAAGGAGATAGAAGAGGGTAAATGTAAAGAGTAGAAGTGGTGGACAAATTAACATTTTTCTGATTGCTGTTAAAAATAAATGCTTTTCTAAAAACAACTCACCCCTTTTTTGGTTAATTCCTATGCAGCATGGCCTTCTAAAATGAGATTTAAACCCACACTGCAGAAATGCAAGTCAGGAAATTAATCTGCCTCTGTAATAAAAGAGCTTGCAGAGTCACAGTACTTATTTGTAATTTGTTATCAAGGGAAATGCTTAAGCACAAGTTTCTGTGCCTAAAAACAAATCAATCTTATGAGCACAATACTAATGAAAAATATGTATGTGGCTGACCCTAAATATCTTAATGTAAATACATTTCAGTTCAAGTGCCAAGGAGTTATTATAAATAAAAGTAGTTACAATTTCTTTTTAAAATCTCTCAGCAATGTTCTTTTTTATTGTGCATCTGAACTTTGAAGCATCACACGGTAGTGTACTGTAAAAATTTCAACTAACACTTGTTATCATTATTGTGTTGTTACGCCGTTAGGCAAGTCAAATTGTGGGAAGCAATATGCGTGATCACTTATATTCATCAAAGAATATTAATTTTAAATAGATAATTCCAAAATTTAAACTATTACTGCTGAAATGTACTGTTATGTTTTATTATTATTCCCTTAAACTACTTGTTTTTTCTGTTTTCAAGAGAAAATATTATGTGATAAGAATTCTGTAACGATTTTATGCTATAGTGTCCACTCTCTGGGAAATGTAGTTGTATGGTTGTCTAACTCAACCTAAGTCCACTAAGCCTATCTAGAATGAATCTAGCTATAAAAAGAGAAAAATTACTTGACAAGGAAGCATTTTTGTTTTATTACCATTCCTTAGTTAAATAGACCCAGCGGGTATTTATGGTCCAGGAGTTGGGGGGGAGCTGCTCTAATTAAAGCACCCAGAGCATCTCATGTATCAGTATCCTTGCGCTGAAAAATGGCTGTGGGGGGTGCTTTAACTAAAGCTCATCAAATAAGCTTTAGTTAGAGCACCCCTGCCACCATTTTTCAACTTGGGAACGCTGATACATGTGAGACTGGAGTCTGCTGGAGCACAGTTATTACCACACTCCAACAGACTCAATTAATCGCCTCTGCTCTGACGCGCTGTAATTATGGCACGTCAGAGCAGCCTCACTGCACGTGTATAGGCACCCATAGAACCTGTAAAACAGCATTAAATTAGTCTCTAATTAGTCCTCTGAATGTCAGTGCTTGTTTTTCTCTCACCTGATTTCAGTGTCACTCTTTGGCCCTGTTATGTTTCTTCAGTGGCGTTTCACAAAGGGATTGCAAGTGCAGCTTTTGTGCACATTGTGCAATAGAATGGAAATGTAAGAAGTCATAAAGATGGTACCACTAAGGAAATTCCATCCTAGATGGGGGAAAAAATCCAAATCAACATTCTCAAGGTCTTTCAAATGCACCCATCGTAATGTGTGACATGGGGCAACCTCTGCAGCCTGGTCACAGTACCAGCCCACCCACCTGTCTAGGGAAGTCTGCCTGGTCTTGCATGCCACACCTTATTGTTATGATACTGGTTGTAATAATGTGGGAGGCTGCCCACCTAATGCCCCGATGACTAAGACTTTACATATGGCTCTCACCTTTCCCTTACTATGTCCCATGCCTTGCAGATGGCATTATAAGTTGGCCATAGCTCCAGCCTGTGGCCGGGCCAAACTCTGCCCCTTGTAGGGTCCCTAACACTCAGCTCACACTCTCTGCTCTTCCCAGAGTCTCTTTCATACCACCCTCTCTCACAGGGCCTCTTTCATACTACCCCTCACTGGGCCACTCTCAACCCGCCCTGCTCCATGAGCAGCCCCCTTGGCCCATCAGGCTTAACTACTCTCATTCTGGCCAGTTGACACGCAGCCCTTTGGGTCATTTGGGCAACCCTACTCTATGTGGCACTGGCTTTGTGCTTCACACTGGACTAATTCCTCCCCCAGCCCCTCGTTCGGCAACTTCATAAGTTCACATTCTTATGGGGGTTGGCCCCTGTGCTGCCACTCAGGCTGCCTCTACAGCCCTACTCAACACCTCCAGTGGAGCCTTTCAGCTTGCCCTTGCAACCCTACTCTACACCCCAAAGCACCATCCTTCAGGCCGCAACAGCACACCCTACTCTGTGTGGGCCACCATACTGACTTCTGGAGTTGGTCTATCTCTCTGCCCCCCCTTACTGGGGCCTCCAGGGTCTTTCACCCCATGGGGCTCAGGTGTCCAGAGATGTGCCTTGCCCCCGTGCCTGTCCCTACATTGGGGTATCCCACCAGGATGTGGGGGCTGGGGTTTTGAGGCACTCCTACCCACCTTTCACTGGGGAGGCAACAGGCCTGGCATTTCTGGGGAACTACCCCGACACTATTTCACCAGACCATCCTTCCCCAGCAGGGTAGTTTTTGGTCATACCCAGGACCAAGCAGGCCTACCTGCCTTTAGTGTAATTCTTTATCGGGGAGCCTGGATGTAGTTCCTAGGCTGCTCTTTCTCCTAAGCCCATCTCTCACACTGACCCCCTTTTGGAATTCTCCCCCCCAGAGGCTGTATTGCGGCCTCCTTCATCACAGCCATTATGCTGACTGCCCTCTGTTGGCTGTGATGTGTCCCTCCCTTGAGAGGACCTTCAGCCTTTTTAGGTTCTGGCCCCACCTCCAGGCCAGTTGGGGTGCCAGATAGCTCTCCGCAGCCCTGGCCTGCCCCTTGTGGTGGGCCCAGTTGCCCTTTGGCCTTATGGCCCTGGCCCCCTTGCATTGACCAGTTGTGGGATCAGAAGGTCAGTGTGGCAGCCGCTGCCCTCCATACTCCAGAGGGGGTCCCCCTCTAGACCCCACTATATAGCCATCACCTCAAGCCAGGCTGACAGCAGCTCAGCAAAGTTGCAAGAAGCCTAGGTCCACTGGGCTCACTTGAGCCCCCTGGCTTCACCCCTGCCTGATCTAATCAGGGCCTGCCTAGCCCCTGCATAGGCCAGCAAGTTGTAAGGCCCCTTTCTGGGTTGGGCCTTGCGCTCTCTAGGCCTAAGCCTTCTTCCTGGGACTCGGGACCCTCCTGCCAGTCCCCATAGTTCCTCCCTTACTTCCAAGATGTTATGAGCAGCAGCTCAGCCGGGTGTTGTTGTTTCAGCTACCAGCAGCAGACTCCTGGCTCAGCCCTGATTCCTGAACTAAAATGGAGGCTGCTCAGTCCTCACCTCCAATCACATGGCCCAACCAGCAGCCATGTGACTGCCTCATCAGGGCTGGCCCGCACCTGCTGGTTACCCTGCTGCATGCTCTTGTGCTTGAAGTGGAAGGCACCAAAGGTGCTCCGCCACACCTCTTCCCTCTTAAAATGGCTTCCCTGGAAGCCTGCTTCCTCTTTAAATGGCTTCCCTGCTCACCATGTAGGTTCCTGGGTAGCCTGCAGCAGCCCATTAAGTGGCAAGCCATTAAGTGGCAAGCAAGTGGTGCTCTGCCACAATATGATAATGATACAGCAGTATTTGACAGTCAAATTCAGTAAACAGTAATTAAAGCCTGCAGAACTAGAATGAATAGCACTAGAAAAAGTTTGTATGTAAAGAACCTTCTATACAAGCAGACTGGGAAGCCAAATAAAGCAAGCCTAAATTAGTCTTATCTGGTTCTTTTTTTCCTTTTAGACTTAGGCCCCCTCTATATGTGCAGGTAAAAGCACGTTGGGATCTAATGCACAATCCACGCAATTGTGCCTCCTACCATGCCACACATGCATGGCAGGAGGCACAATTGTGGGATCATGCATTAGATCCCATCATGTTTTATTGCCAGTACAAGGTAGCCCTATCCTGGGGGGCCCCCCAGTGTCAGCAAAAAACAGGTTCCTGTGGCTGGGAGACCCATACACCCCAGTTGGGCTGCCAGCCATGGGGGTACCCCTGAGAAACCCTTGTGGATGGAAGATCACTGCAGGGGCAATCCCGATGCCTCAGAGCCGTAGGGAAACCACTGGAGCCAGAGAATCATTTCTCCCCACTTCCCAGGTCAGGGGCATAACCCCTGTCATGATCCTACTCCCCACATCATGAATTGCAGCTGCCATGATCCCTAGGGTGTGATTGGCTTTGTTGATGGCTTCGTTACACTGCTGGCTCATGTTCATCTTGGAGTCAACTATGACTCCAAGATCTCTTTCAGCTGCTGAGCTGCTGAGGAGGTCTAACCAGGAAGTCTTTACTTTCACTGATGCTTTAATTGTGTGGAAAGTTTGTGCTTCCAGACCTTAAGCAGAGTTTCTATTTCTCTGCCCAGCTCTAGCCTCACCCCAGGATATAAGGGGAGGGGGCTGAAAAAACAGAAAAGAAGTTACTTAAAATTCCAGAGAGTAACTGGTGGAAAAGTTGAGTTCTAAATCTAACCATTCTTTCCTATGAGATCTATGAATTCCCATCTCTTATTTTTCCTTTTCTTTCCATAGAGAACATTATGTAATAGAAGTCCAGCTTCCAGCAAAGATGTTTGAGTTGCTGCCACAAGAGATTAAAGAAGGAAAGCTGCTCCATGTGTACCCAGTGCTCTTTAATATTGGAATCAATGAACAGCAAACGCTTGCAGAGAGGTACGACAGTCCCTTTTGGAAGGTTCATTATTCAGTTTTTTGCTTGAGCATGCTGTGGTAACCTTGATGATCTCACACTGGATAACACAGGATCCTTGTTATTACTGGCCCTTGTACCAACTCAGTGAGTTTGGGATATATTACTAAATTAGGTTAAAGAAAAAAACCCCACAAGGTATGAACTAAAACAAAATAATGAAAAAAATTACCAAAAAAAAAGAAAGAAAGAAAGAAAAAAAGAAAATCAACTCATCTATTTCATATCACTAAAGTCCATTTTTTTTCCTGGAGTGTGCATGCATAGCTCTAGTTCACTCTTGCAAAAGTATATCAAAGAGCAGAATAGGGCTCTTTAAAGCTTAATTTGGAAAATTCCCAAACCACTTCTCTATAACAGGTGAAGCTGAAAAAGGTGGGCAGGTTGCAGGCCTTGGAGGGTACACTCCTCATATTAATTGATAGTATAGGGTTCATGAGCCAAGGGAATCAACAAAGTAGTAATGGGTTATTGTAACAATAGGGTCATAGCAGCAGGGGGATGATGTTTTATTTTCTTAAAATTCTTAATTATGTTTGCCCACTTAAAAGATCTTAATATACCCCTTGAGCTACTTTGGTGCCTCAGCCTAATCCAACTATGCAGTTCCAGTCAGTTTCACCCACCTAGGTGGAGAAAAACTGTGGATCACATCAAATAACCCAAGACGCCTGCTGCTAGTATTGCTGGGCTCACATATACACTTGGACAAAGAGAGGGTGTGTCTACACATACTCTGGCAATCCTGAAGCTGCTGCCAATAAAGGAAGCTCCACCCATTTGCTCCATTTCACACGCACTATATGCTGAAAAATGTTACTTATTTCTTACCAGCGGTCTTTGATTGCCAGAAAGGAGAGACAGACCTACCTATGTTTGCATGTTTGTTATAACTGAAGCACCTAGGAACCAAGGACCAAAGACCCACTGCATTTAGGCACTATACAAACACCAAACAAAAAGGTGGTCCCTGCAATATAGATATGAGATAAGAAAGAACATGAACAGAGAGAGATAAGGGAAGGAAGTATTGAGAAACTATTGGTTGGCCCAGTAGATGGGAGTTTTAGCACACTGGCAGTATATCTGTTGTCAGTTTTTTTGTACACATCCTAGCAGAGAAAATGTTTAAAGAGGATTCAAAAAATATAATGAGGTAAATTAATGGATGTTTATGGGGAACTCTTCTCAAACATGAGGGGACAGTATGGGAGGATACACAAGATGCTGCTATGAAAATTTAGCAAGTTGGGAACTGGATAATTGGCCAGTCAGAGATAGGATTCAGCATCTTAGTAATGAATCAGAGGATTTAGGTTGGGTATAGTAGGTGATGAAGAACCTTGAAGGTGAAGTAAAGTAGCTTTTATGTTTGGTGCAGTAGAAAACACAAAACTAGTGGAGAGATACAAATGAGACTGGTAGGAAGCAAATCAATAAGAAACAAAAATGATCTTTACAGAAGTATCCTGAAAAGATATAAGTAGTGCAGGTTTCCACTTTCTAAGGCCAGGGGAAATTATGTTGCTGTAATCAACATACTAGATTGTGAGAGCCTGGTTGAGAGCTTTAGCCATTTGGAGAGAGAGAAATATTTTGCAGAAAGAATTTGGCAGGATTTAGAAATAACCTGCACATGAATACCTAGAAAGAAGTCTGAGTCAAAGATGGCAACCAAATTATAGCACTGAGTGACAAGCAGGATGGTACTGTTTTCTAAAATGATTGATGTGCTGCTCTTTTCTGTATACAAAGGAAAGAAAATCATACTGCAAAAAAAATTAGAAGTTAAGGCAATATGTCCATCAGGCAAATCCAGTGAGATCAATTTATGGAGAAATAGCAGTTCTATAATTACAGATATAAATACGAGACATCCAGAGTTTAGAATCTTACCTGAGTTTACCGGTCTCTCTGAAGTTTAGGGCTTAACACTTGTGCTTGAGATATGAAATTAAGATTGGAATCGCTGTCTGGTTTTTCAATAAAAGGTTACCTATAAGTATTGCAGGAGAATAACAATCCTAAGAGGAAACATTAATAACAATAGAAATTATCTTTTATTTATTGTAAATGTTATTTCAGTGGAACCAAACATATGCAGTTTCAATGAAGCATGTTTGAAAATATATTTGATTTAAGAAAACGATAAGCAAGGTTCAACATCTGAACATTTATGGTTAATGTCTATTTTAGTGACGTGCATGGATGTAACATACAGAACATGGGACAAAATGTTAAGATGCAATGTAACCTTTTATGATTTATTGTCACCGATACTCTTCTGTTCACTTTATATATGACAGAGCAGTTAAAACATATTGGGGTGTGTACACGCAGACAAATAATCTGGGTGAATTCTCCCAGGTTTGTTCTCCTGGCAGAGAAACTTACCCAGACCTGCATGCATAGATATTTGAATACTGAGACCCTCAAGGGTAGAGAGCTTGTAGTGCTGACACCGTGAAGCTGGGAGAGGAGGAAAGGGGGCTCAGGTGGGCCTGTGCACACATTTCAGCATCCTCTACAGGCTGCCTTAGTCTGCCTGGTTACAGATGGCAGCAGTGCATAAGGCAGCCCTGATTGGCCGACCCAGCAAGCATTACAATGTGGGGATAGTGAAGGGGACATGTTCTGTTTCCTGCTGGAGTAGCAGAGTCCTGCAAATGACACGCTGTGTGGTAGAGGGCTATGTTTTCTTCTGAGAGAAGCCACAGCATGTACAGACATTGCTTTCCCAGGAGAAACTCTCATGGGAGTGATTTAACCCTGGCTGTTTGCAGATATTTTTTCTCCTGGAATGGCCATTTTTACTGTGGGAGAAAAAACCTGAACATCTGTACACTCACGGTTTCTCCTGGGAAAGTCCTGCAGTGACTCTCCCTGAAGAAACTGAATGTCTGTACAAGGCTTTAGACAGAAATTCTGGACATATAGGCACTACTTTCAGAATATAGTTCCACTGTGACCTGTGTGGACACTGCAAAGATGGACAGGAGGGATGATGGTACGGCAGTTTAATCTTAAAACAGCTAGGCTTGTGCATGATTAATTTCAACCACTACACACACAGCACTATGACTACACATTGTAGCGAGGAGCTCTTTAAAAATAACTAGATAATAAATGGATGCAATAGTGACTGAGGTCAATCAGTATGCTATGTGAAAAACCGCACAATTCCTGTCTGGGACTCTGTCCTGCATTTATCACCAAATGGCCAAGATCTTTCCACACATTATGACAGCATACATTAGACTCACTGATTTCTAATCCATTTTCTTCTCACTTCTCTCTGTTCTCTAGCCCCCTTTATAATTCCTCCTTTGTTCTTCAGACTTCTCTTTCTTTTTGTTGTAGTTGCTATGGAAAAGCTCAACTGAAAAAATAAGTTTTGTGTGTCATTCTGAAGGCAGTGGAGCTTAAGGCTATTCTCAAATCTTCCCCAAAAAAGTTCCATAGTCTTGGGCTTACTGCCAAGATTCTTCCATCTCCACTCTTAAGAGTTTCATTCAAGAGGTAGAGACAGTCTGTAGTTTCTGCAAAATACTTGTCATGGGAAATTATGGGGACAGAAGCATTGTCTTAGGTAGCTTGCTTGAGCCAAAGCCATGGAGATCCTTAATGATGAGAACAGATACCCTGAAGCTGATTACGTTTCTTGGAAGAACCTAGAAAATGAGCACTTGCATGATATTTTCTCATTAACCTGTATTGCTGAAAAAATGGGCAGAAGCATTGTGGAAAGACTGAAGTTCTTTTACCTTGCATAGTAGTTTTTGCCTAAATGCTGTAAATTGCAGTTATCTAGCATGCAGGTCTCAGTAGTAAAGCTATGTTCAACAGTACTGAACAGAGTTTATTGGCAAGTAGTAGTAGATATAAGAAGGAATGCTTGGAAACACAGCCTAAGTGTTCATAAGGACCCCAACTTGATGGACAAACTTGCAGCTCTGCCAGATGACAGTGCTGCTGTTGTTGTGCCCTGTCAGATTTATTCCTTCTCCTTCAGACATAATTTCCATCGCGGCTGGGTTCGTCCATTGACTTTAGCTAGACACTGAGATAAGAGAGTTAATGTTGTTTAAGCAACATTGGCATTTGAGACATCCAGAGGAACCTTGCAAAATATGGATTTACTCTGGCTTTTTTCAGAGTGGCAGGATTTGGGCATTAATAGTATGAAAGTAAGTGGATTTTTTTTTGTTTGTCTGTTGTTGGAGAGGTGTACGAAAGTAATATTAGATGTAATATTTCTGAACAATGCAAAGATTCAGAGGTTAGTCACAATTTTTTGTTGCATAACATCTATTTGAACAACTATTGGAAAATAAAAGGAAATTCAGTTCAGTGTTTACATTCAGAAGGCATAGCTGAAGTTGGATTAGATTGGGGATATCAATAGAATGGGAGACTATCTGTTTTTAGCAGGTCTATCCAACTGGCAGACGGTTGACCCCATATGGACCCTGGGTTCCTGGTGTGGGTGCTACTCCCCACCACTGCTCTGGCAGCTGCTACCACTGGAGTCTCCAGGCTCCCACTCCCTTCTCTGGCTCCTGCTGCCTGACCCCTAGGGGTGGCCCTAGAGGCAGGACTGAATAGTCTGCAGGCAGATAGCTACAGATGACCCAGGGACCCTATGTGGTGCGACACAGCACAGCAGACCCATGTGGCATGCCAGGCAGGACATGGGGGCACTGAGACAGTACAGCCAGTGGGGCAGGGTGCTCCCACAGTTCAGAGAGGGGTGGGTGTGCACCCATTGTGCCAGGGAGGAGGGTGGATGTGTGCAGTACAGTGTGGTATGTGGCCCACACATCATGCAGCTGGGTGTGACCTGCGTGGTGTGTGGCACAGCCACTCAGAAGATGGATGGCCCTGTTTTAGAGAATGGTTTTTATATTTATTATTTTTCTGTGGTCTTTTAGGTTTGGAGATACCACTTTGCAAGAGAATGTTAACCAGGAACATTTTGAACTTCTTAAGGAATATTACAAATTGTTTACTGAAAAAATGCCTCCTGATTGTAAGTATAAAATCAATTGAATCTAACTGGCTTTTAAATTTTATAGGCAATGTACCATAATTCATTGCAGTGGTGAAACGTTAACAGACTTAGCATGTATCACCTTTATATTTAGCCCTTAGTCCTCCAGCTTGCTCCACAAAGTAAACAGCTGGGACTAGTAATGGACCCAGTAAGAGTTAACCCATGCAGAACAGTTTGCAGGATCAAGGCAATAGAGAAGATGGTGGAGAAGGTGAAGCAGAGTAAGAATATGGTATATTATAATGTTTGCAGACTTACTAAAATATTTGTTCACAGTAATCTAAGTAAAGGATAATGGACACTTAGAATACTTAGTGAGGCCGCAGCTGGAGTACTGCGTCCAGTTTTGGGCTCCACAATTCAAAAAGGATGTGGAGAAGCTTGAGAGAGTCCAGAGAAGAGCCACGCGCATGACCAGAGGTCAGGGAAGCAGACCCTACGATGACAGGCCGAGAGCCCTGGGGCTCTTTAGCGTGGAAAAGCGCAGGCTCAGGGGTGATCTGATGGCCACCTATAAGTTTATCAGGGGTGACCACCAGTATCTGGGGGAACGTTTGTTCACCAGAGCGCCCCAAGGGATGACGACTAGGTCGAATGGTCATAAACTACTACAAGACCGTTTCAGGCTGGACATAAGGAAGAATTTCTTTACTGTCTGAGCCCCCAAGGTCTGGAACGGCCTGCCACCAGAGGTGGTTCAAGCGCCTACATTGAACAACTTCAAGAGCAAACTGGATGCTTATCTTGCTGGGATCCTATGAACCCGGCTGACTTCCTGCCCTTTGGGCAGGGGACTGGACTCGATGATCTTCCGAGGTCACTTCCAGCTCTAATGTCTATGAAATCTATGAAATACATAAATACCTGATAGAAGTTTGTATCCATTTCAGTCTCTTTCTGAATACATGGCAAGATGTAAACAGCTAATGAGTGATGCAGATAATCTAATTCCAGTGAAGTCAGAGGAGAGGTTCTCATTCACTTCAGCTGACATTAGCTCAGGCCCTCTCAGTAGATACAGTGTTAGAAATATAGTACCATATAGTACTTAATTGTTTAAATCAAATGTTAAAAAGATCTACCAGATCATCTAGTCCTGTCAAAGCAGGATTATTTCTGAAATTATGTTCCCAAGTGCCTTGTCAAGCTTCATTTTAAATAACCTGAATGTAAACTTCCATCACATCCCTTATGAGATTATTCCACTATGTAAAGACCTTTTTACCTTCACAATTAAGGTTCTGGCCTTATATTTCTCCTTTGCTCAATTTGAAAACATTATCCTTGTACACATCCACTTGTACCATCCTTAATATTTTCTCTCTTTTGTGTATACTGTCAGATATATTTGTGTTCCTTCTGACTCATCCATGGTAATTTAGGTTTCCAGGATCAGGACTTTGTATTAGCTCATTATTATTTGCACTGGTCTCAACAGTTGTAGTACAGTAATGTCGCATCTTACGCGGGGGTTACATTCTAAAGGCAGTGCGTAAAGGCAAAAATCGTGTATAGTGAAATTGCATATTATCGTGCCAGCGGTGACTGCCTATGCCTCCAAAACCTCCTGCTGCCACGGCGGAGCCATGCTTAGAGCTCTGCGGCCGGCGGCAGCAGCGCAGCGCGGG